CTAACTAGGAAACCATGACTCTGGTTCTCAAGAAGCAAGAATAAAAATACCGTAGTTTCTGAGGAAACTGTGAAAAATGGCTGCTGAACTAGGGTAAATGTAATCCACAACAGAAGCCACAGATGGATCCAGTGGGTTGGTAAATAGGAATTTTAGCCAGAACTTAGTCTACTGCACTTGTGAGAGGAAACTCCAGTCAAATTGAGAAAGTCCTCCAGGGAACATCAACTAGACTGGCAGCAGCTGAATAGACAAGGACCAAGGCCTATTTAGTCGAAGTCACAGACCAGTTAATTTATAGAACTGTACAAAACCCACACTCAGGAAGCTGCCCCCATCCCTCCTTTTTGTTTGATTTTCTCCAAGATCTAGCTTAAATTATCTGAAATTTTTTTCTATCCAAATATAAATGAGCTGATTTCAATTTCACTTCAATCATTCAGATATATGTAAAACCATTCAGTTGTCTTGTCCATTTACACCACATCAATAACTAAAGGTTAATCCAACAGCACTGAATTCTCAATACAGTTCATATCTTTCCATCTACAATTCTTTTTATTTATTGGGGTAATACTGGTTTATTACACTGTATATGATTCATAAGTAAAGGTTCATACTGTTCAGATGTATGCTACCACTTACTACCATATACAACTTTTTATTAGAAAAAAAAATACTGAGTTACATTTGTAAAACTTAACTCCAAATCTATGTGTTTCATCAACAATACCTTTCATTGAGCTTATTAATGAAGGGATAGAATAGGCCTATTAAGACGTGTTAGTGAAAGGAAATAAAGTATTATCGTTTATGTTTCATACCTGAAAGCTCATTAACCAACTATCACTCCGCTCCCTGATTCTGTTATGTAAACACTCAATATTTAATTGCTTTCATTTCTGTCAATAATTGTTAAAAACACCCAGATTATAAAATATGCAAAACCAAGATTGAAAAAGAATTCCACAAATATGATTAGCATTTCTATATGACTTCAATGACTGTCATCCCTGAGAATGACTGACCCTTAGATTACTTTATAATCTAAACTATGCAACTTGAAAAATTTATCATATACCACTAACTTAAAAAAGAATGGTTACTCTTTAACAGTTTGATTTAGAACTATTATGTTCCATGTTTCATTTAATAAAAATATCCACTAAAATTAATTTATCTTGTTTGATTGGAGAGGGGAAGCAACATGGTGGGGGTTCCTCAAAGCCCCCCAATGCCTCTCTTGGATAGGAGCATAGGTCATGAGAACTTCCAAATACAAAGGCTTATCACACCTACTAATTGTGTCTGGTATCAAGGAAGGACTATGTATGTAGGAACTTCATAGTGTCACTAAAATAAGGAATAATCTTCCCATTATTCTACTTCTTATTTCATACTTTCACTCCCTGGCAACCAGGAGCAACTCTCAAATCATTTGTGACTTGTACATGTTTCCCACCTGGGACAAAGACACTCCTTCACAGCACCATGACAACCACACCAGCAACTCAAGCACTTGGGCTCATGAAGGAAAATGAAAATCCTGAAAGGAAGCTAGGAGATAAAGGCCTACTATTCCTTGTTTCCCACTGGTAGGAAGTAATTACAAAAATTACTTAAACACAAAGCTTCTGGTGAGTGAATAGATTATAATGTGAGGGGAGAAGCCTAAGGGCCTAGGATTAAATAAAAAATATGAAAAGCTGAATGATGTCATAGATGTATAGCTTCCCAACCCCCCCCAAAAGACTAGCTAAAGCAAACTTCTTAACAATAACAAAGTAGATTTCTTAAGAAATAGTGAATGCTATATTTTGCTTTTTAACCGAAGTTTACACCAATGATGGATTAAACTGTGGAAATGAAATTTATTAGTGGTTTACTAATCATGTTGCTACCAACTAACTTTCTAAAACAGTCAAATACAATTTTGTCTGAACTTAAGATGTCAAAAGTGGAAGTAATTTCAATATTCCTACAACAGAAATCAGAAAAATACAAGTAAATTCAACTCAAACCCTGTGATGAAGTAGACAATGTCTCTATCATAAGCAAGTCAAGTTTATGTTTGATTTTTTAAGATTTATTTATTTATGTATACAGAACTGGGATACAGGCCAGAGGTTTGGGGATTGAGAGGACTCACCAGAGGCAGTGGGGAGCAACACAGGCAGACCAACTGAAATACACTGCTGGGAGAACAGTGGATGAGACAGGAGAGGTCTGCTGCACCATGTGGGTCACCTCCCTGTCCAGGGATCGAACTCATGCTGCAGTGGCTGCAGATAGCTTCACAGTGCTTTGCTTTAACCCACTGAGCCACCAGGGAGGGCATTATGTTTGTTATTTCATGGTATTTCTTTGCTAGAAACTGGCAGTGATATGTATTATGAATATCTGCCAGATTTGCACTAGAATGCATTGCTATAATATCAAATGTAAAAGTGCTTTATGTCTTATCTTAAAAGATAAATTGTAAAGCAGAGCACTGCATCTGTGAATTTACAAGTTCAGTATATCTTTTAAAAGTTCTTCATATTATTTTTCTACATTAAAAAAAATACAACTTTTCCTATAACTCTTGAATATGCCATCTCTCATAAAATAACATCCTGAATTGATTCAGAAAATAGAATTTTGTAGGGTTCTATGGTTTTCATTTCTATATCAATATGCCTTTCTAATTCTAGATTATGTTCAATTTTACATTTAGAATGATGGAATAAATTTTAAAATATATTCTTAATTTTCACTTGGAAAATAATAAGTTCAAGAAAAAAATTGTACTTTAAATCCTGTGACCAAAAAATTAAAATGAGAATTTAAAAGTTACACTGTGAATTTACAAGCTCAAAATTCCTACCTCTTTTTTCACACTAGGAAGAAACTGACACTTCTAAAATACACGGTTACAGTTTAAGATCCTCAAAAGAAGGTAACATATAACATATCTCCAGCAACTCAGTTCAATCAGAACTTGATAAACAAGAAAGTCAAAAGTGTTAAACTCTCACTAGATTTAATATGGGACATTCTAAGAGAAGTCAAGAGTTCCATTTTGATCCAAGCTTCTATGTAATTTCATAGTTAACAAAAGAACTGCTCTTGTTTTGACTCAAACCATAGAAAACCTTTACTTCTACTATAAAATAATCTTATAGTCATAACTAAAAATCATAAAGAATACAGAGCTTGTATTCTTTAAAATAACTCATTATAAAATGTAAATATGTTGAAAATGATGTTACTGGAATTGATATGTTAAATAATATCCTAAAATAATACCCCAAATCACCTTAATCACATTTCATTATTTTAAACTTATATACCCTACTAAATTATTTTTCTTAATGTAGCATCTACACATACAATAGATATTAAATATAATATATACCTTAATTTTCTTATTTCAAGAAAAAAAATAACCCCTTCTGACTTTCATGGACTGATATGGAGTAATAGGGTCCAGTTAGGTGAGACTATATAATATGACAGATGGAGGAAATAGGGAGTTAGCCATTATGACAAATTTGGTATCCCATCATGGGATATGATTCCATAACAGCCAGAGTATGTCTCTCTAAAAGGCATCTAGCTATTATCTCAAACGGCATGTTAGAATTGAGTAATACATAAAACCAAGACAATACAAAAAAACACTTTATCCTACTATTCTTCCTTTGACATAATTGGTCTTCTAATTTAGAATGACATTTTTAAAACATGAAAATACAATCGAATCACAACATAAAGCAATGCTTAATTGTCCATTAAAAAAATATCCTAATGTGGGAGTCTTTAAACTCAATAATAAGTACTAATAATTAATAACAGTATCTAAAAATAATATTGTTATTCAGCAATTCTTTTTTCACAGATTTAAAAGAATCAGTCTCAGGAAGGTTAACTACTAACCAAAGGAACAAGAAGATGTTACTCACACCCATTGAACTACAGAGCTTATTCGCTTTCTGTTATACCACAGTGATTGATCCTCTAGGGTAGGCACACATTTCATAGATCTTTAAGTGTTACTACATTCTTACTGTTTCACTTCAGAAAATTTCAGGCCTGTTATTAAAATTTTAAAGTCTACTGATGGTGTAACACTAAGGAAATTATTGGCATCTGAAAGTAAAATGAAATAACTGTAACAACTTTTAAAATTTAATTTATCATTGACTTACAAGATTGTTAAATTTGGTAATTTATATCCTTCACATTTCCCTATTGTAAATTTTCATTACCTTTTAATTCAGAAAGTTGGTCCAGTAAAGGTATACAGACATTTAGAGATTTGGTTAAAAAGTATAAAATCTAAAATTTTCTTTCTTTATCAAGGAAACTTCTATATCCAACATTTCTTTAACATCAAGTTATTTTAACATTTCCTTAACACACACACACACACACACACATACAAAAACGAAATCTGCTTTGCAATAATTTACTTGACTGTAGTGGCCTACTTTGAAATAAAATTCAGCAGAAGCATTTGACTCTACTGTCTCCTCCATGGGATAAAAAGCTGTACAAAGTAGGCCATAAAGTCTAGAAGAATATTTATTTTCAAATGTTTCTATCACAATGGTATTAAAACAAAAAAAAATGAATGTTTGTCCTATCAATATATCACATTTGAAAAGTTTTAAAATAATATTAATAATGCATAACATAGATACTTCTAAAAAGTGCAATTGTTTTCAAAATTTAACATAAGATAGAGAATAGTTTTAATAGAAAACATTTTTTAAAAGTCATCTATAAGAAAGATATTGTGACATAATAACGTACTAGAACAAAATGATATAACATACACTCTGCTAATCATTTTTTAAAAAACAAGTTCTATTTTACAATTTATAAATATGAGTTTCTGTTGCCATCTTGACAGTATAAAAGAGCATATGACAATTACATTCTCTTAATCAATGGAATGTTATACTCATGAATCTTAAAATGACAGGTAATTATTAAGTCTTGTCAAAGATGCCTACCTGTGTAGTGGAAGTCTTTGGACATGTCTGTGGGAGCCTGTCCCACTGCTGATCTCTTGTAGACAACATGAATTCTTCCTTTTTCTTCTTCCATTTGCTTACCTCTTTCCAAGGGTTCAATGAAATACTCATCATTATCACTTTTTATCATTCCAGCCTAGAGAAAGCATAAACTGTATTAATTTTTTTTAAAGATTTATTTATTTATTCGTACAGAACTGGGGTACAGGCCAGAGATGCGGAGGGTGAGAGGATTCACCAGAGAGAGAGCCGGAAGCAGAACAGGCAGATCGACGAAGTACACTGCTGAGGGGAGCAGTGGGCGGGCCAGGAGAGGTCTGCCGCGCCATGTGGTCACCTCCGAGGCAGGCGGGAAACGAACTCATGTGGAAGGGGCTCTTTAGTTTCTTAGTGCAGTGCTTTAACCCGCTGCGCCACCAGGGAGGGCCTAAACTGTATTAATTTTAATAATAAAAATCTACCATCTTTAGCACACTAGTGCTTTTTTAAAATGGCAAGATAATTTAGGGAAAACTAACATTTTTCTTTCTACTTTTGGCTCTAATTAAAAATCTACCATCTTTAGCACACTAGTGCTTTTTTAAAATGGCAAGATAATTTAGGGAAAACTAACATTTTTCTACTTTGGCTCTAATTTTAAGTTGGTTACATTTTTATCAAATATTAGTAATTCTGATAGAGAAGCAAAACAAAGAGACAAAACCAACATTATAAATATGGCTATAGAACTAAGACTATCAGAGGGGGAGCATGGAAACAGAGAGAAGAGAGAGTGGGAATCCAGTGGACTGTGGGGAAGGATTATGAGTATTTTGGTCACAGGTGGGGTAAGATAACATACATTTGAAGAGATGTGACTATGTACCTCTTAAGCATATACAGCATTGTGAACCAACACTAATTACCCCATTAAAAATATAATAAAAATATTGAAAATATAAACAAATACCAGTGATTCCTATAGGTAGAAATTAATAAATGGTAGGAATAAAAATTCATATACAGTTGAAAAAGTAATGTACATAAGGTAAGTATAAGAAAGGCATATAATGTATGTATTTCATCACACTGCAAAAGAACTGCATCTATATATTCTACTTGACAGTTTATTCTAAAAAAAAAAAATCATGTAGTGGTATACAAATTCAAGAAAAATCCTTATTTTCCCATAATTACCCAATGTAGTGCTGCAGTCCATACACGTTTTGGATTTTTAAACTTATTTACATTTCCTTACATACCAGTATAGTTTGAAAGGAAAGGGTCCGACACTACACGTAGTACATAGAGGTCTTATTGTCTTCAAATATATTGATGCTTTAAGAAAAGCATCAATGAAAACTATCTCTATCTATCTATCTATCTATCTATCTATCTATCTATCTATCTATCTATCTATCTATCTATCTATCTATCTATTATATATCTATATTTCCTCCTCACACTTATCACACTAAGTAGTTTACTTTTATAGTCATTTTTTTCATCTATCTATTTATTCCGGTCTTGTGATTCTGTTTCATTTTTTTGGTGAGAAAATACCAGGGGGCCCTCCCTAGTGGTGCAGGGGGTTTGGACTCAGCACTTTGAGATAGCTGCAGCCACTTCAGTGCGAGTTCTATCCCCCATCCCAGAGGTGACCCACATGGCCCAACAGACCTCTCCTGACCGGCCCACTGCTCCCCACAGCAGTATGCTTCGTGGATCTGCCTGTTCTGCTCCCCACTTTGTCTCTGGTGAATCCTCTCACCACTCCTGCACCTATGGCCTGCACCCCGGTTCTGTATGCATAGATAAACAAATGCTTTTTAAGAAACACCAGGACTATATTTAGTAATACAGCTGATGAGAAATGGTATTTTTCTCTGAAACTTGTTCTTTAAGTATCAAGTCTACATTACAGTCAAACAGTTACAGCTCATATTTCTATTTAAAGGTCATACAGTAATATACAGTATCAATTTAAATATCAGTAGATTTATTTGAAAGCAAAGTTGAAGAATAATGTGTTAGTGTAAGGATTATAATTATTTTTAGAATACATATCAGATTTGGAGGTAAGTCATATTTTTCTTCTGAAGGCTTATTCTACATTTTCAAATATGAGAGTCTCACACACATAGGCAAATGGCAATGAAGATTCTCATCCCTTCTGACTATTGGTTTTTACCTCTGTAGTGTCTAGTAACACATAAATAAAAGTCTACCATAGCAAAAAGCAAACATGTCTAACAAATATGACTCTGCAGTAGATTTTTTATTCAATTCAAATCTGTCCTTCCATTCTATAGCGACTTCTCCCAGCAAGGACACTCTGTCCTCTCCTTCCCCTGGATAAAATTCTCAGGGAATTTTTATAAGCTTCTAAGATGTCTCCATTTGCCCTTCGACTCCACATAGTCTTGGAACATACAGACAGCCCTTGAACCTCGGGGATCAAGTCTTATAAGAAACTATCATCACAGCACTTCAATTTGACCATTACTATTGTTCATACTGTTTCACATTTCCACAAATTACAAGTCAAAGATTCTTTCCAACTATCATATTAATTTAGACAAACTAGAACATGATAAGAAATGGACTGTGTAATATGGTTCAGCACAGCAGGTGTTTCTTTCTACCTCACAATAAAGCTTAGGAGAGTTCCAGGTCACCTAGGAGAGATTTCTGCTCCACACAGCCATGCAGGTCTCCAGAAGAATGGTGTCAAGTATGCACAGTTGGGAAAAACAACATGAGAATGCCTACACAAAGGTTTTTATGAGCCACCTCCAGTCATGGAATTCACCAGTACCAGTGACTTCTTTGGGTTTGATATAGTTTCAAGACTCACCGTGAACGGCAGAGAGATGGGAAATAAAACCTGGTTGTGTGACCAGGAAGAAAGACCACACAGGTTGCAATGAACAGATGGCAGGCTCAACCTCCAATGAGATCTTGTCTTTGTGTGGGACTCCCTGGTGGCACAGGGGTTAAAGCAATGCTATCAAGCTATCACCAGCCACTGTAACACAAGTTAGAATCCTGCTGGCCAGGGGGATGACCCACATGGTGCAGCAGACCTCTCCTATCTAGCCCGTTGCACACCTCAGCAGTGTATTTCAGTTGATCTACCTGTTCTGCTCCCTCTCTGTCTCTGGTGAATCCTCTCACTGCCCTCACACCTCTGGTCTGTATCCTAGTTCTTGTACGCATAAATAAATAAATCTTTTCTTTATAAAAAGATCATGTCCTTATTTAAAACATTTCAGTGCATCTCCCTATGCTTACCACCATATTTCTTTACTTTATATATATATATATACAATTATTTTTTGTACAATATTTGCTTTCTCCTCCCCAGTGTAGTCCCATATAATTCTTCCCCATGCACTATCACCGTACTCCCTTGTGTGCTTCCCTCCCCTGTTTCCCTGCTCCTCTGCAAAGTGTCTCTGATTTATAGTTGCTTGTTCGTTTTTTTTTTTAATCATTATAATTATTTTTTTCTCTAATCTCTTATTTGGTTCCCCCTGCATTCCGCCTATAAGTAAAACCATCCTGGCCAACATTTGTTGTTTCCTGTTTTTTGAATATGAGCCATTCTTACTTGTTTAAGGTGATATTTGATATGTGAATACTAGGATTTTTTTTTATGTTCCTTTGTGATTTATTTCTAGTGTGATGCCACTGTGATTAGAGATGATGCTTGATATGATTTTAGTCTTCATGTATTTATTGATACTTGTTTTGTAGTCAAACATGTGGTCTATGCTGGAGAATGTACCATATGCCCTTGAGAAGTATGTGTATTAAGTTTTGGGGGATCCATTATCCTATAATGTATTAAACTCAGATGTTCTAATTTTTTAAATCTATTATCTTCTGTCTGGTGGATCTGTTCACTAGTGGAAGTAAGGTGTTGATGTTCCTGGTCACTATTATTTTGCTGCCACCTCTCAATTTGATAGAAACAGCCTTTTATGTTCTGAAGCTCCTTTATTGGATTAATATACACTGATGAGTTTTATGACTTCCTGATATATTGCTCCCTTCATCATTATATAGTGCCCATCCCTGCTGCTTATTATCTACTTTTAGCTAGAAATCTACTATATCTTACATAAGTATGACTGTCTCTGCCTTACCTTGAGTCCCATATACTTGCAGCATTGTTTTGCAACACTTTGCTCTGAGTCTCTGTTTATCTTTGGAGCTCAGGTACATTTCCTGGTGATGGTAGATAACTGGATTTTGTTTTCTAATCCAACCAGCCACGCTATGCCTTTGGATTAGTGAGTTCAGCACACTTTCATTTAGAGTGGTTGATATGTGAGGTACTGCTACTGACATTTTGTCCTTAGTATTATAGTTTTATCTCTTTACTCACTCTGGCTTTTGCTGGTTTCATTCCAGCAACTGTAAGATCCTTGCTGATCCTTGAACAGCCCAGGTATGTGATTTTATGATAATCTTTGCATTGACTCTTTCCTTGACTTGGAATTCTAGTCTAGGTTCATGCCTGTATTAATTCTCATGAAATACTCTGCCAACCTACACGCTTCCTTGACTTCTTAACCAGCTCCAACTTTTATACTGTTTTAACCGTCTTCCAACAAACTAGATAATTTAACTGTTCATCGCGTTGATTATTTACTATCACTCTCCCGTCACTACTCCGGTAGCCAAGAATTGCTTTTAGCCATTTTGTTAACTAGGTATCCCAAGTGCCTAAAATAGTGTCTTGCACAAACTAGATACTCAATAAGTATTGTTGAATAAAAAAAATGAGAAGGAAAGAAAAATTAAGATAGAAAAGTCACACATAAGTTTTGAGGTTGGGTAACTTAGGAAAAAATACTTTTAGTCACAGAAACTACAAAAATTAAAAGGTAAAAAAGATTGGAATTAGCAGGGAATTTGTTTTAAGCATTTTCACTTGAGGGAGTGGTGTGGAGAAATGCAGAATTATTATTCAGAAAAAACTGCCCCAACCACAAAAATATCAGAACTCTAATACATTTTTTCAGAGGTGATAGCTGAAGCTGTTGGGGGTGGGGTGAGGGTAGGGGAAATGAACAGCAATACTCAATTTCCTAAAGATATTTGATGTCAGACCAATGGATAATCTCAGGAAGCATCATATAACTTCTG